CTCTCTCTCTCTCTCTCTCTCTCTCTCTCTCTCTCTCTCTCTCTCTCTCTCTCTCTCTGTCTCTCTTGTCCGAGCAGGCAGCGCCCATCCAGTTCTCTCTCTCTCTCTCTCTCCCGCGACAACCTTGCGTATCCAACGATGACATCAGGAGAGAGAAATCGAATCCAAGGCCAGAATTCGTTACCCAAAATACGAATCGAGGGATGATTCTTTCCGTTTCCCTCTTGATTTCCCGCCCTCCCTCCCTCTCTCTCTCTCTCTCTCTCTCTCTCTCTCTCTCTCTCTCTCTCTCTCTCTTTTGTTGATTGACAGTGTGCATTGATCGCCTGATCGATTCAGTTGGGATAATGCTTGTCTGCTTGCCAACTTCGGCGCTCTTGTAGGCGTGCACCGTCCCCAACTGTACGTACCGTTCTCCCGTTTGCCCAAAGAGAGAAAAAAGCGAGGGGGAAAAAGTAATGACCATCACACGGGCGAGGCATCAACCGATCATCAACAGAGCCCAGGGGTCAATGGGACATACACCACGTGTTAAGTGTGTTTTTTTCGGAAAGAGCTGGCAGCGGTTTCTTTTTTCTCTTTTTGGAGGGATTCATTGATTGCCGGCTATAATCGGCCCCCTCTTGACAGCGGTTTCCACAGGCCCGTTGATTGATTGATTGATTGATTGATTGATTTTTTGACGGATCCATTGACTGATTGTTTTTTTGACGGATCCATTGACTGATTGTTTTTTTTCCGGATCCGTGGACTGATTGCTTTTTTGACGGATCCGTTGACTGATTGATTTTATGACGGATCCAGTGATTGATTGAATTGCATTGGGTTGGTCGATTGATTGGATTGGAGTGATTAATTGATTAGATTGATCGATTGGTTCATCGATTTTCCCTTTTTGTCTTTCACCGATCCATTGATTAATTGGATTGGATAGAACTGATCTATTCACGCGTTGAAAAGAAAGCTGAAGGTGTGTGTGTGTGTGTTTTGCATGTTCGATTTGCAATCAATCAATCAATCACATGGGATAATTTTTTTTTTTTTTAGATGACGTATACATGTCATTCAATCATATGCATCGATGCAAAAGGATTAATGAAATGAATGAATGAGCTGAACCAAAAGCTCTGCGGCCGAGAGAGGAAGATGTGTGTGCGTGTGTGTTCCATTTGCAATCAATCAACCACATCGAACCCAATTTTTTTCCTTCTTGAGGTCGGGCATACAAGTTGATCGATCACGCATCCAGGTAAATGAATCAATGAATCAGCCGTCATGGCAAAAGCACTCATGCATGCGCGCAGGCCGCCTACATTGCGCAATGACCCCCATCTATGATCTCCCCTCACCATCTACCCATCCTTGTGCGATCAAGCACTCATGCACGCATGCAGGCCGCCTAGATTACCCAATCTCTATCATACCCTCTACCCTTCCCCCCTGACGTCGCAAGATTGCTCATAGATGCAAAGACGTAATTGGCACGCACACGCACACGCACACACACACACACACACACACACAGGTATGCGTGCCCAAAGATCCCTCCAGATGGAGAGAGAGAGGTATGCGTGCCCAAAGATCCGTCCAGATGGAGAGAGAGAGAGAGAGAGAGAGANAGAGAGAGAGAGAGAGAGAGAGAGAGAGAGAGAGAGAGAGAGAGAGAGAGAGAGAGAGAGAGAGAGAGAGAGAGAGAGAGAGAGAGAGAACTCACACTCCCAATGGAGGAGAGGAAATATCCTGCTTCATTGAACCCACTCAGGCAGGGAAATAGTAATTACGCTCATAGTCATACATCCTGTTTCGTCTGAGCTCACTGTATGTATTGGCAAGTGGTCTCGCCTCTTAGCGGAAGGTCGCAGGTCTCTTTTTCTTTTCCTTTTCTCTAACTCGACACGTGTCAAGCAAACCGAAAGAAAGAAGGCACTTGTCAAATATGCAAAGAGGAAGCGAACGTGTCAAGCTGACAAACTGTGTGTGTGTGTGTGTCTGAGAGGCAGTGCGTGTGTGTGTGCGCGCGCGCGCGCGCGTGTGTGCGTGTGTGTGCGTTTGTGTGTATGCACTCCATCTGCCCCTGTACTGCAAATAGAATTTGACGACGAGCACGGGCCCGAAATCGACAGTGATCAGGCGCAGTGCAGGCTCGGAGGCCAAGGGCCTGTGGGCCCCCAAAATTCATCGGAGGCCTCCTGGGTCTGTGATAAGGGCAGGCGGCGCTGCCCAAACCATCCCGACCGGCAAATAGAAAGAGGCGGGAGCACAGCTGAAAGGGGGAGTGGCGGAAGCACAGCTGGAAGGGAAAAAACACGCGCCCACGCCCACGCCCACGCCCACGCGCACACACACACACAAACAATCTGGTACAGTCATGCTTTTTTAGAGTGTATAGCGAATATGACAACACACACACACACACACGGCGGCCAATCTTCAAACCGCGCTATACATGCTCCGCTGGCCCTCCCTCTCCTCTAGGGAAGACCAGGGCTTGCAGTTGGCGACGAGGGAGAGCATCTCCATCGTGGACAGGTAGTGCTGGGGCAGCCACGCAGAAGCAAAAGAGACCGCGCGCGTGAGAGACACAGAGAGAGAGAGAGAGAGAGAGAGAGAGAGCATTGTGTGGCGAAAGCACCGACAGCCCATAGATAGAAAGATATGATGAACTCGTAAGAAAATGGAATGAGGGCCGAGTCCCACTGTCGATGGGAACCGAGTATCGTTTGTCCCGAACCGAGGCAATATCGAAATATAAGCGTGCCACACTACTGTTTTCACATTTGGTTATCACAATACGGCGTTATTTCGCAAAATGCGGTAAATACGGTAAATACGGTAATGACCCCATTTTGGCATTATCGGTAAGAGCTATTCTTCAATGGTTTTTGGGGAAACGGAAACTCATAATGTAGGGGAGACGCACGCCAGAAAGCCTCCCAAAGTAATAAGGTAATGGTGGTCGCGTCCTCCATAGCAGTTCTGGGAGGACTTTCCTAAAAGAATTGCGGGCTCCACTGGCGTTTCTACATTTTTCCGCTTTCGGGGACTTAGGGCCTCGTTAGACCCTCCTTGGAAAGTCCTCAGGAATTAGGATGAAGTCCTAGGAAAAATTTCCGGTTTTGGGCTTCATCGCGTCCTAATTCAATGGGTTTCAAGGAAAACCCTTGGAGGTCTCCAGCGGCCAATTTCATACGCATACACACGGCTGCAACTCTTTGCTATTTTTCAGTGCCCTGACTCGAGCGATTTTTTTTTCATGAAAAGTTATGAAAAATATCCGGG